TTTAAAGAAATATTTTTATGAGATACAAAACAAAAAGATAATATTGATGTTAAAATACATAACTTGAAATAATTGTTTATAATTATGTAATTTATATTTATTGTGAATTATTATTAGTTGGTATTAACAATAACTATATATAATATAATAGAAACATACATGGTTACACTTATTAAGATGTATTAATGTGAGAAGTAAAAAATATTAATGACAAATTTTGTAACCGAAAATAGAGAGAAAATTTTAGAGGTTTTATTAAATGTTTTATTAAATGCTACATGCCAGCAATTATATATATATAGATATAGATAGATACTAGCCGCTCGGTGGCTGTGCACGCACAGCTGACCCCTGTTCAATCTATAATTATCTAAAATATTGGGGAAGATTTAAAAATAAATATAACTACATTTGATAGCATTTATAAATTTAACTTCAAATAACTTAATATGTATTCATAACAAATTCAATAGTACGACAATATAATAAGATATCTACTAATTAACAAAAGCGTAGATAAAAGTTTTTGTTTGAACACAAGATCTCAGAAGTCGCGTTGAAAAGCGAAATATTAATTATCTACTTAACAAACTACCCAATATAGTAACATAAAGGTGTCCTAAATTTCAACACTAAAAGCAATTCGTTCCATTCTATTATGTGCTATTAAGAGTAAACTCACAAACAGAGCCTATAAAGTCTCAGCATCTATGAACCTGCATTACCTTCTTTCCCACACCATGGACTGTATCCATGACATATTCGACATTGCCAAACCTCTGTATGACTGTGCTTACTTGGCTGTACGAAGGCTAAACTTGTTCCCTCCAAAACGACATTAAAATCGGCTAAAATTTGAAAGAATTAATAGAAGATTAGTGTTCTTAAATTCACAAAATTTACAATTTCTGGACATGCTAATATTGGATATAAAATCCTTACCAGCAAAAAGCTCGTTCAATGTGTGTCTTCTTTATGACAACCTGGAAGCGGTATTCTGCAAGTCTAGCTAGACCGGTTGTCTAAAAAATGAGCACTTTGAAATGAAATAGGCTTGTGCATTCAAAGACCAAGAAGCATCCAAATTTTATCTTTTCTGCCTGCATAAAACGACTCCAACCTTCTTCAAAGCACATGCGGTTTGCCTTTAGCCTCATCATGAACACGTAGTTGCACCCCTATTTGGTTTCTAAATTGGTAGTATATGCTAGTATGTGATGATATCGTGGTGGTATTGCATTAGGTAGAACCTACAGTATTTTTGGCATGCTAGATCCTACAATATTATTCATAAATACTTTATTTCTAAAAAGTTCAAACTTGCATTTGTAGTTAAAATAAGAAAAAATATACGATGCTTGGATTGTCTAGATATAATATCACTTTGAGAAGTCCAACAGTTCGTTATCCATTTCCTGTAACTTTAGCACACTTGAATAGACTGTTTACGTCCTCCCGTTCAAGAAAATCGTTAAATTGTCTAAAGAATGTTTATAAGAAAATATCCGCTATCGTGTACACCATGTTGAGTGATTCATTCTAATCCATTTAGTAAAAAAGGGGAGAGGCTTTATGCATTCGTTAGGTAAAAACTATTTGAACTAAAGAATGAACAATAAAAAATATGCTCCAAAAGACTTGTTTTGTAAATTAAGAACTAACTTTTTTTTAAAAAAAAAAAAGTAGAGTCACAAATCCTAGGATCTATCCTCATGGCATTATAATCAAGACACTGGTATAGTTGAATCATCCTGATGGATGAAGATAGAACATACCAAAAATGTTCAACAAAGCAAGAATAGTCTAATTACTTTAATACACTAATAAGCTTCATAGCTCCACTATCAATCCCACTTACGTTCGCGACAACAAACCGAAAAGCTAAAGTAAACCTTAAAAACTCACAAAGTACATCAAACGTGGTGGATGTTGTAACGGCTCACTCACCCACCCCAAAAAATGTCGGTGTGCACCAAAATGAATTTGGTACCAAAATTAAACAAAATTCTTAGAGGTGTTTCTTTCCCAGTTAAATGTTTTTTTGCAAGTATATGAAAGAAATTTTAGCCTTGGATTCACAGAAATCGTTTAATATACGTACACATTAAAAGGTTACACAAGAAGTACTGCAACAAAAGCATACATCTTCGCAGGCATACATACATAAAAACGTAAATTGGGAAAAAGTATTAATTAGACGGTGTACATTGTTTGTTTGTTTATCAATTTCCACTTTTTGTTTGAAGAGAAAACAAAATAAAACTGTTATCATCAAGTAAATAAGCAGCACATGAGTCGATTAATTTCCGTATCCAAACAAATCAAAGGCGCTTTAAGACAACACTAAAAAGGGGGAAAATGCGAACCACAAAAAATTACAACAAAGCAGCAAAATTTTTAAATCGGCAACCAAATCGTAAAAAAGCAAAAA